CCGCACGTACTTCACTCTCGATGACGGCGCTCACACGTGGCTTGAGCATCGAGAAGGCCGTATATTCACATGGGATGAGTTTCGTCAGTAGCTGATTGACACCTTTGCTAGCGTCGACCGTAATGAGCGGGCTCAGCAGTTGCTCGAGGTAAGGCTTCAAAAGCCTTACGAAACTGTGGCAATGTTTGCTGAAGACGTAACGCGCCTCTGTCGTCGGGCTGATCCCAATTTGTCCGAGGAGAAGAAGTTGCGCTACCTTATGCGCGGCGTGAAAGAACAACTGTTCGCGTGACTTGTGCGCATTGCCCCAACTACCGTGGTCAATTTATAAGAGAAGACACTGCCATTGAGCGTGCTCTGCACCAAAGATCGAGGCAATATGATCGCTCGTCCACTACCACCCCAATCAACGCCGCCTCAGTGACTCTGTACAATCAGGGCCCCCTACGTGACCTGATCAGAGATATTGTCCGAGAAGAAATTCAGAAGCTTTGGGCTCCTCGAGTGGATACACCAGTGACCGCCGTTGCCGCAGTCGTTCGTGACGAACTTAGGCACGCTTTTTCAGCAGCTGATCTCGGTCGCGATCAGCGTCAACTGAGTTACGCCGACGCTGTCCGCCATCCACCACCCGTCCCGCCTATTACATCATACTACCAGCCACCTACAGCCGCACCTTCGTCGCAACCATTGCAGGAGCCTTTCAGACGTCGGCCCATGTCTCCGATGTCTCCATGCCATCAGCCACTCCTTGCCGCGCCTTACTCACCAGCACGAGAGGACATAGGACGCCCACAATTTCGCAGAACTGACGTTTGGCCCGCCGATCGATGGTGCGCCAAGCGTCCGTTCGTTTGGACGTCATCGACGGCTGAACGAACTTGCTGTTGACCAATTTCACCTCCGAGCGACGGCACGTTCCAAAAGGCACAACGTTGGCATATTCCGACGAGATCGCAGATGTTTGTGACTGCTTTTCAGCACTCGAAGCAACACCTCCACAAGACCCACGTGACCTAGTACCTAACCTTGACGTCAGCCCTACTTCTAACTCAGCAACAGCGGGAACGCCTGCTTGTGCTGCTAGACAAGTTCCCCGACTGTTTTGCGTCGACCTCGAAAGTTGGCTGGACGTCCTTGACCAAGCACCGAATCATCACAGAAGACACGGCTAGACCAATCCATCAAAATTGGTACTGTGTGGCTTCAAAAGAACGAGAAGTGATAGAACAGCAGGTAACAAAAATGCTTGAAGACGTCATTCAACCGTCGAAAAGCCCCTGGGCATCACGTGTTGTTCTAGTGAAAAAGGACGGCAGCCTGCATTTTTGTGTGGACTATCGAAAGCTAAATCAGGTTACAAAAAAGGACGTGTACCCGCTTCCCCGCATAGATGATTCCATTGACAGGCTTAGAAACACATGTTACTTCTCTTCCACGGACTTAAAGAGCGGATATTGGCAAATCGAAGTAGACTCCAGGGATCGTGAAAAAAACCGCTTTCGTGACGCCAGGCGGACTGTACGAATTTAGGGTTTTACCATTTGGCATTTGGCTTGTGTTCCGCGCCTGCTACTTTCCAGCGTCTCATGAATACCGTTCTCTCTGGGCTTAAATGGAGAACCTGCCTAGTTATACATTGACGACGTCATTGTGTTTTCTACAACGTTTGACGAACACCTTGAACGATTGCAAATGGTCTTGCAGGCCATACGGGCCGCAGGCATGACGCTCAAGCCGGAGAAATGTCACTTCTGCTTTGAGGAACTGCAGTTTTTCGGCCACGTCGTCAGTTACGCAGCAGTTCGTACAGACCCCGAAAAAGTTGCCGCCGTCGCACAGTTTCCAACACCATCAGATAAAAAGGTAGTGAGGCGTTTTCTGGGAATCTGTGTATATTATCGGCGGTTTATTCCAGATTTTGCGCGCATTGCCTCACCTTTAACTCGTCTCACGAGGGATGACGTTGCATTTGTTTGGGGCGACGAACAGGAAGATGCTTTCAATGACTTTGCGGCAACGTCTACAGGCGACGCCCGTCCTTGCCCATTTTGATGACACAGCCCCTACAGTGCTCCATACTGGCGCCAGCAATGTTGGCCTCGGAGCTGCACTTGTGCAGTGCTAGGACGACGAGGAAAGAGTGATCGCTTACGCAAGCAAAACTCTGTTACGCACAGAAGCAAATTACTCGACCACTGAAAAGGAATTCCTCGCCGTGTTGTGGGCAGTTATGAAATTTAGCCCATACCTGTACGGCCTCCAATTCAAGGTTATCAGTGACCACCATTCGTTGTGTTGGTTAACAAGTCCGAAAGATCTTTCTGGGCCATTGGCACGCTGGAGCCTTAGACTACAGGAGTTTGATATAACGATGGTGTATAAGTCGGGAAAACGACACACGGACGCGGACTGCCTATCTCGATCACCAATAGAGTCGGCTGCTGCTTTTGATGGAGAAACAGCGTTCCTCAGAATCCTCGACACGTCAACCATCGCAGATTACCAGCATGACGATCCTGAGCTACTTGTCTTGAATAATTATTCAGAAGGACGAAGCCAGAATGCACCCAAAGCCTTTACAAGAGGACTATCGTCGTTCTGTCTGTGAAACAATGTCCTTTACAAAATGAACTTCTCGTCAGACGGGTCCACCTACCTGCTTGTCGTCCCTACTACTCTTCGTTCTGAGGTGTTGCAAGCGTGCCACAACGAGGTAACATCTGGACATTTTGGCTACACGCGCACACTGAGCAGAGTTAGAGAGAGATATTACTGGCCTAGACTCACCGCTGCCGTGAAGCATCATGTTCGGACCCACCTCAATTGCCAGCGGCGCAAGTCACCTCCAACAAAACGAGCCGGTTTGCTACACACTGTCCATATCCCGATAACGCCGTTTGACCAGATCGGAATGGACTTTTTGGGCCCACTTCCCACCTCTAGTGTTGGTAACCGCTGGGTTATAGTGGCGACCGACTACCTCACTCGCTACGCCTAGACAAAAGCCATCCAGAGAGGCACAGCAGAGAAGGTAGCCCGGTTCTTCATAGAGAACATTGTGCTGAGACACGTTGCGCCATCGATCGTTATAACAGATTGCGGAACCGCATTCACGGCCGCGATTTTAGATCATGTGTTGGTGCTCAGCGGTACTATTCATCGCAAGTCGACAGCTTACCATCCACAAACCAACTGGTTGACCGAGCGACTTAACAAAATTCTGGAAGACATGCTTTCCATGTATGTGCACATTGAACACAAAAACTAGGACGACATTCTCCCTTACATAATGTTCGCATTCAATACTGCGAAACAAGAAACCACACGGATGACCCCATTCAGCATTGTTCACGGACGAGAAGTAAGAACGATGTTAGACGCGATGCTGCCACACGAATGCGATGACAACGAAACGAGTGCTGACGTGTTTACTCAACGCGCAGAGGAAGCCAGGCAGCTCGCACGTCTGCGAATATAACAACAGCAAGAGTACGACGCAGGCCGCTATAACCAACGTTATACACCTGTAACGTACAAAACCGGGGACAGGGTATGGGTGTGGACGCCTGTACGAAGACGGGGACTATCCAAAAAGTTGCTCAGATGGTACTTCGGACCTTATCGAGTGCTGCGACGACTAAGTGACGTTACCTATGAAGTCGTCCCGGATAGCCCAAACTGTTCAAGGCATCGCCACCACCGACCTGAGCTTGTGCACGTAGTGCGCATTAAGCCATACGTCAGCGAGTGACTCTGCGAGGCACCGTCGCTTCAAAAAAGTGACTTCATGCGTGAATTACTGTCTCAGCTATAGCATCGGGGCGATGCTCTTTTAAGGGGAGGCAAATGCCGCCGCCCGAAACAAAGAACGAAGACAATGTGCGCGCCAACAGCCTCGTGAAAAGGGGGACTGAAGAAGACGACGTGCTTTCGTTTTGCTCGCCTGCTCTTGGCTCCTGCATAAAAACACACGCCGTCGGTTCTCGGACTCAACGTCTCGGAGCACTGCTTACGCTGAACCGCGGCAATATATATATATATATATATATATATATATATATATATATATATATATATATATATATATATATATATATACAATCAAAATCTTATTCTTTCTCACTAATGACCGAAGTGATGAATAACATGATCGTGAATTGCATTGTCCTAATCTCAAACAAATTAGCGTTGCATTGGCCGCTAATCTACACGTGATATTGTGACTCTAAGAATGTGCTGCTACATTCCATTAAGCGTGATTTTACACACTACAGGCGAATAGCTTCTCCCGTGTTTTTCTTAAGAAGCACAGACTGCCGGGCGAGTTTGGCGGTAAGCGAGAGAACGAAGCACGAAACGAAGAAACCTGAACACGTCGCACGCAAACAACTTAACATTTCCTGAAATACACATATATATCCGGTTACTAGAACACGTCTTGATGAAACAGTTATATGTGCAGACTGAGATTGACTGCATTAATGACGCGCTTCAAATCAAGTTAACTCAATGGCATGTACCCTACCGAGGATGTTTTGATAACCCTTTTCTGTGCTTGCTCCGGCTATGTTATCCTCCTGAACTCCTTAATATCACTGTCAATGGGGCTTTAACCTCTACATCACAATCTTTCCTCGTCTTGGAATCTAGGCTGTTTTTCTTAATTATCAGTACTTACCTTGGTTTCGTGCTACTGTACCCATTCCCACAAACTCGCTTCTGTTCTTGTCCCTTAAAACTACATCGTTCTATTTGCCTTTCATGGTTCAAAGCGTCGTCCGTAATTAAAGAGGAGTTTTTCATGAGACATCTCTCGTATAAGTAACACAACTGTGAGGCAGCTGTCATAGATATCTGAAGGAATAGTGGTAAACTACCTTTTGTATATTCAGAATGTTCGGGCATGCTTTTCATTGTACCAATTCAATATCCATGATTCAAAATCACTTTCCTGAGTTGCACAGCTAATAAATGTTTCTTTACTTTCACTAGTTTGCTTTACCCTTACATATTCAAAGAGAGGAGCGAGTACTCACCAGGACTGCTGGAAGTAATCACGAAGGAGACCACAAGAACTACAAAAGTCAGCAGGCACAGCGATGTGAGTATTGCCAGCATGGTTTCTTTAGCATCGAGGTCCCTGCACAGTTGTTCCCGTTTTACTTTTGTTTATTGGTTAACTTGAACACAATGAAGTGCGCCATAGTGAAGTTAGGTGAATAAACAAAATTACACTTTATCTTCTATAGTCCTTGACATCAAGCCACTTTATATCATGAAATACCCCTCAAATGCGTGTTACATAAAGGTTGGGTTTACAATAGAGCCAGGCGACGTGATTCAGAACAGAAATTTGTTGTCCAAGAAGGTTGCGAATATTGACATGTCTGCAGTGCAGTGAAGACCAACTCATTCTGATGCTACTCGTAAAAATTTAAGAATAAAGTGTGACGGTGTGAGCACGTGGGTGTGACATTTGTTCATGCTGACCAGGATAATGTGTGCGGCTAACGTGAACGATTTAAGTGCAACGATTTAAGGGACCGTCGAGGCCATTCTAAAACAAATTGGTGGAATAAATACAGCGTCGAAACGTGACACTGAAGACAAACTTTAGATGATTGGGAGTCTATATTCAATGAAAATAGGCTAACTGAGTAATGATAGATGGCATGGGTAGACCTTGATCCACGGTCTTGGACTGCTTTCAGGACAGAGGTGAGGTAGGAATGATGTGCGCATCACATGATGGGTACGCATTGGAGCTTCGGTTCAACGAGCGGTTTATTCAGACGAGTTTTCTCGCGTGCTTGGGAGCATCACGAAAATTCAAGTTCATGAAGCCTGGGGTCCTTTTTATTGGCAGACGCTACAATGCTGTCAATATGAGTGAATGGTCCCTGTTTATGGTCTCTACCAAGTTTTTAATGTATGAATGGCCCCGACGCAAACATCAGAAATTATGTGCAGAAAAGAAAGGACATGTCAACATGAAGAGTAGGTGGCCGATTTGAGTTCGCTAGTATTTAATTCCGTTAGCCATTGGCTGCACAAGTGCAATACGTGGTTAGGATAAGTAGAAAGGCTTAATTGTGGTTTCACAAATGTTCCAGTCTGCAAAAAATTTGATGTTTCCTGTTTCACCTTAAGGTGATTTATTCATATAAATTAAGAATATTGGGGCCCAAAGACGGACTCTTGTAGCACGCCGGAGGATATTGGGAGTGGGCTAGTGATTTCGTAAATAATAGTAATAGCCTGAGAGAGTGGTTTCCTTCAATGCCTTAATCCCGTAAGATTAGTATGTTTTGTAACATGGAGAGGGGTGCGTTCAATTGTGATAAAATTTGAGAACTGATTCACTGTTCCAGTGTATAATAACTCTAACGCCTGCAAATAACGCAGCATCAGCCCTATTTAGCTAGGTTATTTGCAGCTATTGCAAGGGTAAAACCTTGTTATGCTCTAATGTTACCACCCTCTTTAAACAGCTTGTGAGGAAGTAAAAATAAGTAAGAGCCATAACATTCCACTCATCGACATACCATTGATTTTGTTTACTGAAGTGACACGTGTGCGGATACTTTGGTCATGTCAATGAAGAAATTCGTTAACTTCAGTAAGCTTTATAAACACTATTATCACTCAAAAAGAAGGACTACTATGAAGCTCACGTGATCGCTCTACATTCACGGCTTACTAACAAGGTTATCAAGTGTAATGACCTGTTCGTCGTGGCAAATTCAACAGAGTTATACTTCTGAATTTTGCAATTAGTCTGAGTGATTTTATTGCTTCTTGAACGTGATTGGCCTCTCTGAACTGTTTAGCGGTAAGATACGAACAATGCGATGCTGTAAAAACCTCGCATGGTATGATGCTCTTACATGAAGTCGCGCATAAATAAGCACAATAAGTACGGGATATGCTGAAAGTCCATTCACTCAGAAAACCAATCAGTATGCACTCTTGAAAACTGAATTTGTAAGAATCTCATAGCTGAAAGCAAGAACCTTGCAGCAGCTCATATACAGGTCAGCCAGGCTGTTACTGCTTTTCACGAAGTTACACTATTTTGTTGCAGCAGCTAATTAGCAATTGGGGTCAATTTTGGCTACTACTTATTCCTGCAGGTGGTGTGTCATGTTAACTGTAGGGACAATTTCTGTGCCACAGTAAATCGCAAACACCGGACGAATCGATTTAGGTCAGGCGATCTGCTACGTCATGAGCTGACGCATACATCTTAATCCGGGGATATATTGACACAGCTGGAGATATTTCTGCACACTAATACATACGCATGGAAACTAATTAGGGAATCCGAATTTCTCGTATCATTGGTGGAGCACTGTGGCTGTTTAATTTGTGACTCATAACTACCTGTTTAATGAGTAGTTTTTTGCTTTATTGATCTCCCAGGAACCGCTTATCTACAGGTGAAAAATTTTCGCCTTTTCATTGCCTTTCTGCAATCGGTAAGTTTCGAGGAAAGTCAGATATAGTGGAATACTATACTCTAGGGTTAGCCCGTGCTTTGTTTTAGTTTCCAATATTCTGTTAAATAAAGCGTACTACTACGGCGGAAACACCCACAAGGTCACCTTGTTCCCAAAAGTTCAAGAAAGTATACACCACGCATGTCTTCCGCAGAGTTAAATCACAGCTACGATTATTACAGTTTCAAGCTGATAGCTGAGTTAATAGGTACAGCAACTCTGCATGATTGTCACCTTTATGGGTAGGTATTAAAAGGTTATACCATTGTTAATCATTTCTATGCTGAAACGCATGAGTGTCGTAAATGTAAGCAAAACAAAGCCAACCAAAATACCTCTAAAGTGGTTTGGAATCTAGTCCTATTCGATTACATACTATGGATTACGTGCAGTTGACAGCCTACGGCACAATCGCATAATCGCTTTAGCGTCGAAGGGGTGAATTAAGCTATGAGCTGGTCCTTTTGAAGGCCCACTCATTACAACTCCCAAACTTACGATTCCTGGTAATCTTGAGCTGAAAGTAGACAAAAAGCATGAAATTGTATAGCGCAATGATGATCACTGCAGCAGTTTTGCCGCCGTGAGAAACACGCAAAAAACACACACTCACATGCACACATTTTAGATATGGGGAAAGAAGTCTGGTAAAAGACAGTCACATACTAAGAGACTAGGTATAGCTCACAATTCACAAATATTTATAATGAATCGGAAGTGCTAAGCAATCGCCATGATCTCGGGTAAGCAGACGGAAAGACCAAAAATGGTGCGAAATGGAGGAGTGTGTGCTGTCACATCACTAGGTGTCATGTGCCAAAACAGTGTTTCAGAAACACTACTTTCACACCAATTTTCCAAATTGTCGTGCATGGGTAGGGTAGCACTTACGCGAGACCAGATTGACATTATCGGAAGGCTTCATGACGTCAGGCATGAATGGCGTATCTGCTGAAACAGAAAAAAGTACATGCATTTACGATGAGAACAATCCTTAATATTGCCGCGAACCATGCATTGGGCTTGTTTGTTTTTGCTTTTTCGGCCTGGCTGCGCCGGCCTGTGCTATCACTGTTTTCACAGCATTTCGAACAAACGCTATCACAGCGTTTCGAACAAACCCTATCGAACAGCGTTTCGAGCGTTCCGAACAAACAGCGTTTCGAACAAACGCTATCACGGCGTTCTCGATACAATTCGACTATTCGAGAAACCCTCGCGCCGAGGGATGTAAATTCCCGCACAGCCGATGCCGCGACATTCGATCACCGACGCTCACTAGCGTGCACGTCGCTTTGCCGGCCCCTGCTTCACCGCCTGTGTATTCTTTCAGTTGTTACGGGAGCACAGGTTCGCTCCAATAAACTTGTTTTCCTTATAGACAACTGCGTCGTCCTTTGCCGCGTGACATTATTGTTACGTAAAAATGACACGAGGCGTGTCATTTTTAAAATCTATATTCAAACTAATGCGTATGGCGTCGACTAAGATGGAGGACAGCACGCGCAACCGACAGACCTCTTCCTCGTTGTCGTCTTCTGACAGCTGATATGTCAGCTACGTAGCATTACCCCTCCGGCGGTAAAATCGCCGTCTCGGTGCACATTAACTACGTTCTTCAGTAGGCAGGTGGTAAGGTTTTAGCCTGCTGACGTGCACAACATCACTGGGTGTGGTTCTAGGCAGGCTTGTGGTTTCAGATGCAGGAATGATTTCATAGGTGACGTCGGTTACCTAGCGGATGACACGGTAAAGACCCACGTAGCGAGACAACAACTTCTCTGATAAGCCAACTCGACGAACTGGGCACCAGAGGAGAACAAGAGAACCGGGTGAGAAGTGAACGTCAGCATTCCGGCTGTCGTAGATGGCTTTCTGGGTGGCTTGCGAAGCCGAAAGTCTAGAGCGGGCGATCTGACATGCGTGGTCGGCACGAGCAATAGCGTCGCGTGCATATTCAGTTGACGGCGTTGTAGTGGTTAGAATTAGGGTGTCGAGTGGTAACGTCGGATCACGGCCATAAAGCAAATAAAAGGGTGAATAACCAGTGGTGTCGGGGCGCGAAGAATTGTACGCGAAGGTCACGTGAGGTAGCGCCAGGTCCCAGTCATGGTGGTCGAAAGACAATTACATCGCGAGCATGTCCGTGAGGGTCCGATTTAGCCGTTCGGTAAGGCCATTTGTTTGGGGATGGTAGGAATTGGTCAGCTTGTGGTGCGTCGAGGAAGAGCGCAGAAGATCGTCGATTACACGGGACAAAAATGCGCGGCCGCGATCCGTGAGTAATTGGCGAGGAGCGCGCTGGTGTAGGATGACGTCGTGGAGCAAAAAGTCCACAACGTCAGTAGCGGTGCTGGTGGGGAGCGCTCGAGTGATGGCATACCTAGTCGCGTAGTCTATAGCAACGGCGTCCCACTTGTTGCCCGATTTCGACTCGGGAAAAGGACCGAGAAAAGCTACACCAACACGAAAGAAACGTTCGGTTGGGATGGGGATCGGTTGAAGAAGTCCAGCCGGGGGCGCATTTGGTCGTTTCCTACGTTGGCATTTATCGCAGGAGGACACGTAACGGGGAACGGACCGGGTGAGACCGCGCCAAAAGAAGCGGTGACGCACGCGGTCGTACGTCCGAGATACACCCAGATGACCAGCAGTTGGTTCATTGTGAAGCTCGTGCTGGACGGTTGAACGCAAATTTTTTGGCACGACAAGAAGGAGCTCAGGGCCATCTGGCTGGAGGCTACGGCGGTACAGCGTGCCATTCAGGAGCACGTACATGCGAAGTGACGAGTCGTTCGGAGCCGATTCGAGACGGTCAATAAGTTGTCGCAGAGAAGCATCACAACGTTGTTCGTCACCAATCTGAAAAAACTGGGACATTGACATGACGCTGAGGCTTGGCTCGATGTCGGGTTCGTCGGGCTGATCAACAGGGTAGCGGAATAAGCAATTGGCGTCCAGATGGAGACGTCCAGACTTATAAGCAACCGAGTAGGAATGCTCCTGTAGGCGTAATGCCCAATGACCAAGTCGTCCAGTGGGGTCCTTCAGAGAAGAAAGCCAACACAGCGCGTGATGATCTGTGATGACACGGAAAGGGCGGCCATACAAGTAAGGACGGAATTTCGAGACCGCCAAACAAGGGCGAGATATTCCCGTTCTGTTATAGAATAATTGCGTTCAGAGTTAGAAAGCAGACGGCTTACGTACGCGATTACACGGTCGTTGCCCCGCTGAATTTGCGCCAAAACTGCACCAATTCCGTGACCACTCGCGTCTGTTCGCACTTCTGTAGGAGCATCGGGGTCAAAATGTGCAAGAATAGGAGGTATCGTTAGAGCGGTGATTAGCTGAGAGAAGGCGTCAGCTTGAGGAGGGCCCCAACAAAATGGGACGTCTTGTTTGAGAAGGTCGGTGAGTGGCCGTGCGAGTGCCGCAAAGTTTTTCACGAACCGGCGAAAGTAGGAGCAGAGGCCCACAAAACTGCGAACATCATGGACAGAGCGTGGGACTGGGAAGTTTGTTATAGCGCGTACTTTCACCGGGTCTGGCCATACGTCGGCAGCGTCAACAAGGCGACACAATACGGTAATCTGACGAAGACCGAAGTGGCACTTGGAGGAATTGAGCTGCAGGCCGGCGCGTCGAAATATGGATAGAATGGTCGAAAGGCGTTCAAGGTGGGTTGCAAAGGTAGGTGAGAAAATGATCACGTCATCCAGCTAACACAAACATGTCGGCCATTTATATCCTTGTAGGAGCATGTCCATCATTCTCTTGAAGGTCACTGGAGCGTTGCAGAGACCGAATGGCATGACCTTGAATTGGTAAAGACCGTTAGGGGTAAGGAAGGCGGTCTTTTCTCGGTCCATGTCAACTAAAGCGATTTGCCAGTAGCCAGATCGGAGGTCGAGAGATGAAAAGAAGGTGGCGCCATGGAGGCAATCGAGGGCATCGCCAATGCGTGGTAGAGGGTACACGTCTTTTTTGGTAATTTTGTTGAGGCGGCGATAATCAACGCAGAAACGCCATGAGCCGTCTTTCTTTTTTACTAATACCACGGGAGATGCGCAACGGCTCGTTAATGGTTCGATTACGTTTTTCGTAAGCATTTTGGCCACTTCTTTCTGAATCACTTCTCGCTCGGACGCTGACACGCGGTACGGCCGACGGTGAATGGGCGCAGAGTCACCAGTGTTGATTCGGTGAGTGACAATTTTAGTCTGGCCCAAGGGACGATCGTCGGTGTCGAAAATGTCACTGTATGAGGCCAAAACTTGGCAGAGAGCGTCGGCCTGGTGAGGCGACAGCTCCGATCCAATCATGTTTCAAAAATACCATCGTCTGAGCTGGGTGACCGTGAGACTGCGCTTCGATCAAGAGCAGATACAGCGACAACACTGACATCGTCCTCTTCTATGGCAGTTAGCTGGGCTTGAGACATCTGGCAGGGCAACACTTGAGGGGTGAAACCAAAGTTAAGTAGCGGAAGTAACACACAGTTATCCGCTATGGTCGCGATGGTATAGGGCACAGTAACACTGCGCGTCAGCCGAACGTCAGTAATTGGCGTAACGATATAATCACCGTCAGGAACGGGAGGGGTTGATGACAAAGACACGTACGTGACGGCTCGAGGAGGCAGGCGAACGAAAGTGGATGGGCTCAAGCGGCTGGTGGGCTTTGCAGAGTAGTCGGCAAAGATTGGAAGATCAAGGCTGAGGGTACCAGACGAACAATCAATTAAGGCCGAGTGTGCCGAAAGGAAATCAAGGCCAAGTTTAGGGTCATGAGGGTAGCAGGCTAGCACGGCAAAAAGGACCACCGCGTGACGACCGGCAATGCTGACACGAGCAGTGCACATTCCGATTACTGGTACAGTACCGCCATCGGCAACACGTATTGCCTGCGTCGTAGGTGGCGTCATAATCTTTTGTGAGCAGCAGCGCAGAGAAGCGCTCATAATAGACAGGTGCGCACTTGTGTCAATGAGGGTGGTCACAGGAACATGGTCGACTTGTAGTTCAAGCAGGCTTTGGTGCGTGGGAAGCGTCAGTAGAGGATTTTCGGCCGTCATTGGTATTGCAGCTTCACCTCCATAAGCTGCAATATCTAGTTTTCCTGCTGCGGTCGTCCAGAGAAGCTCGGCGAGGTAAAGCGCCGAAATGGCGGAAAGCGGGATTGGCGACGTAGCGGCGACGGGGAGCGACAGCTGCGGCGACCGGATGAAGGGGCGTCAGGGTAGCAGCGACCGGGCAAAGGGGCGTCAGTGGAAGGCTCGTAAGATGACGACGAATAGAAATTGCTGGGTGCGGCGACTGAACGTCGAGTGGTCGTCGGATGCATGAGCGCCGAGGGTGAGAAAGTCTGACGTGGTTGGTTTGACCAACGGTGGCGGCAATAGCGAGAAAAGTGCCCAGGCTGATGGCAGGAAAAACAAATAGGCCGGTCGTCAAATGTTCGCCATTCCGAAGGGTTTCGGTAGGGCATTGTTGGAGGTGATCGGCGATCGTGTCCTCGTGAGTAAGACGGGACTTACGGGCAAGTAAAGCGACATGCTGATGGAAGGCCGAGGTTCGCAAACTCCTGCCTCACCACAGCTTGTATTAACGCCACTGACGGCTGTTGTTGGTCAGAGGCAAGCATTGCGAAAACGGGTGGCTGAAAAAGAGCCGGACAGGCGGCTTCGATTTCCCGACGAACAATGCGTGTGACGTTGTCATACGTGGGGGACTGGCGGGCGGCTTCACACGATGAGGTTGCGGCCGTGTTGGGCAGCCGGTTGAATCGCTGAGTAATACGGCGGCTCTTGGCTTCTTCGAACCGCCGGCACTCTTTAATGATGGTGTCGACAGTGGCAACGTTGTTGTAAACTAGATGATTAAATGCGTCGTCTGCTATGCCTTTCAGCACATTGGCCACTTTCTCTGACTCACTCATGTGCTCGTGAATCTAGCGGCATAGGGCGATGACGTCGTGAATGTACCCGACGTACGACTCCGTCGACGTCTGTGCACGAGCCGCCAGTTGATTCCGCGCTGCGATCTGCCGCCCAACGGTGTCGCCTAAGAGGTCGCGGATCCTCTCTTTAAAGGAGTCCCAGCTCGTCATCTCCGGTTCGTGCGTCTCGAACCACACTCGCGGTGGGTCATCGAGGTAAATCTATATTCAAACTAATGCGTATGGCGTCGACTAAGATGGAGGACAGCACACACAACCGACAGACCACTTCCTCGTTGTCGTCTTCTGACCGCTGATATGTCAGCTACGTAGCTATATAATCAGAAAACACAAATATCTCACGGTGCCTATAAAGGTTGAAATGAACATATAAATTTTGTACTGAAACTGACCAAATCGGGGAGCCATCAGAGTTTTGAATAGTAGAGGACAAGCAAGGCGTTAATCATAGGACACAGTGCCGAAATGTGATATGAACTTTTCGCTGACTACACATCCTGAAACTAAAACCTAGATGTCAGTCAAAAAAGTCATTCTCAAACTTGGTGCCTACATCTTTAAAATATTTCATTAAAGGAAAATTTCCTTTTTTTCTGATCTACGAGTCATGTGGCCTAGCATGTCGCATGCGTTACAAATGCCCAATTTGTGTAGTTACATCTGCCCAATTTGTGTGGGACATACGTTTCTCCTCCTTAACCAAAGTAATGCCTTTTTCATACACCAAGTCGCCTTAACCAGTCAATTTTACTGAGCGCTAAATATCGGAACAATGCGTTGTGACTAAGTTGCTACTCTCGCCAGCCAAAGCGTGGATTTGAACGACGGTTGGTGATAAACGACATTACTGAGCCGCCAGAGCTGGCGCTTGCCCAGAGGTCAAAGATGTGTGCACGTGGTGAAATTGACGGCGAGTCGTTAGCGCTGTGAAAATGTGACGAGCGTCTCTGAATTCAGTCAGCTTTATTTGGGCGTTGTGAACACAATTGTGCCATGAACAAATACATTGATTGATTGATATGCGGTGTTTACCGTCCCAAATTTGCCATATGATTATGAGAGACGCCGTAGTGGAAGGTTCCGGAAATTTTGACCACCTTGGGTTCCTTAACGTGCACCAAAATCTTAGCATACGGGCCTACAACATTTCCGCCTCCATCAGATATGCAGCCACCGCAGCAGGGATTCGATCCCGCGACCTGCGGGTGAGCAGTCGAGTACCTCAGCCACTATACCACCGTGGCGTGGCACAAATGACATTACCAAAACTCTGGCAACTGTGCGAATGGTATCAACGCTTTTGCTCGTAGATGTAACAAGTTTTCGCATGTCCGAATGCCGTCTATATGGCATGGACATGGGCCTCACCACAAAAAAAGTGCATAGAATGTATTTCGAACATGGCGATTTGATCCAACAGGCCCACAATTTAGACCCACTCGAAAAAAATATTTATTTTCACTGATCTTTATACAGCTAGAAAACACAATTGGCCACTTTTTCGTTACATTTTCCTTCCAGCCGCATTTTATTCTCGCATGCTAACAGCCGGCTCGTAATCAACCTTCTGAACAGTAGTGTCTAACTTGCGGTTGTATAGGAAATGCAATAACAAGTTGTGCTGTGCTACCAAAAGGGGAGCTACTTACCCATGTTCAGGATCATGTACAGCGGATGTTCCGGGTGATGTGCTGTTGTCGCAGTGGTTGCTACAGAACACCGAAATGATGTGCCTGGTGTTTTAGAAAGACAGAAGGTGGAAATAAACTGCTCTCGACATAGCACACTGTAAATAATGCTTGCTGGGGTTAACTAAAACTTATAAAAGCTGATTATCGTTATCCACAAACGAAGCCGCTTAAACTGATTGGCAAATAGATGACATTGCAAACTTAGAATAGAGTTTTATGATAGGATATTCGGCTGCTGCAAGGAAAAATTGCAGTAAAATTAAAGACCTTTAGGTGTTTAAAGTGTTTACCAATACTTGTTCTTTAGCTTCCTTAATCAACCGTAGCTCTTTATATCCTCAAAGTAAATGACCATCGAAACACCACGTGTGTTTACAATGCATATTTCACATTCAGTATTGCAGTAGGAATTCATTCTTAGAGAGTGACTTGTTCAAACACATGCTACTTTCCATAAAAGTTTCCTTTGCTATGTAGTTAACTCAAAAGTAATTTTGTAAAAGTCTGCAAATTGGTAAGTTGTCCGTTTTAATTTCTTGCACAAATAGCGTCAACGTATGTGTGTAATCACGCTAAGGCAGTATGAAAATGCAAAACTACACTGGTAATTTTATTGACTATTGACCAGAATTTTAGACTGAAAGGGCAGTGTCTATGCAAAACAGTTGTGCATAAAGTTTAGCACCGAAGTGATGTCAAGGAGAAATGGAAAAGCAACTATTGCGGAACATCCTAATTGTTGGAGACTAAAATAATCTGTGTAAAGCAACTTGGAAATAAAGTTCTTGATTTAAACTACAAATTGACTACATCATGTGAGTCTCAGTGATATCATGATCACACACCTCGTCCATGTTAGTGACGTGAACCGCATAATCAGCAAAAATGGCGTTCAAAATATAATTGCAGTGTCTGAACCATTATAAGCCTCTGAATTAACAGGACTAAATAGGGGAATCAAACATGGCCCAGCAAATAAAACAACAAATCTTACGCTTCTTATGACTCTGCGAGTGCTATACCTTGAAAAATGTAGGCATCCACGACCTCTCCTTCATGTTCTTACCCGCTACCTATAAAAAATATTAGTGAAATAGTCATGCCTCTCTCCCGTCGTCAAATATTAAAGTTGCAAGTATTCACTGATGGTAAAACTATGAGTCAGCATCCCTGGGCATATCCGCTTTCCCGGTGAGAGGTTACTGTTACGGCAGGAGCAGAAAGGCTACCATATGTTACTGCACCTTACAGATAACATTAGTAAGATTCAGTGGATGGCTAACTTTCGCTGCAGACATGCGTATTGGTGGAATACACAATGCCTGAAGAATGACCGTGCAATCCAAATTAGGAATGCAAAAAAAATATATAGGTGTCCATATTCGAATCAACAAATTTCATAATGTTTCATCACGAGAACAGGTACGATTGCTTGGAAGGGACATACTTTTATCTCTAAGGAGCGCAGACAATTCAGTGATTGCACTGTTGACAACTCTAGGGTTTAGCTAGCATACGACTGGTGACTGTAAGCATGGCTCATGGTCGCGGCCACGTTACGCCACCAAATGCTCTGAGGTAGATATTCTATCAGCAGAAAATCTTTTGTCTATCTTCGAACTAACGGTTGTTGCTAGGCCTCACGAACTACTGGTTCACCAGCTTTTGCGAAACTAGTCTAATCACGCAGTCGTACGATTTACTTCTTCAAGGAGTAAAACAGCTGATGTTGCAGCAGGCACTGGCACAGGATGTTGCAAGTCAAACACAGCTCGATGTCTGCAGGAAAGAGATGACCAGTCTGAAGGCCCCTGGCGCAAATCTGTTGCTGGCTTACGCCCTTCCTAATGCTGGCTCTGACCCACTATGAGGGAAAGGTGAATGAGCCAATGGTTCCTGTTTTTGTTGTGGTTCCTGCTATCAAATCTTGCGTCTCTTTTTACTGGGGGGAATTCGTCAGGAATTCGAGAGTGCTTATAAACTTTTATAGAATTTCAAATAGAGGTAATAGCATAAAAAACTATGAATTTGACATAAAATTGCGATGCTCACTCAAATGTATAAAACTTGATTCATTTTATTAGTGATATATAATACACCGAATGAACACCTTATTTGAAAAACTTACATAAATAAAACAAAAGGTATGCATGTGTCGACAGGGAAGGATAATAATATTGATTAGTATCTTAGTCATTTCATTGAGATAATTCCGCCCAGCCACGTAAACTTTCGCAATGTCAAATCGAGAAATAGAGGCCTCATAAGCTAAAATCGCGTCCACGAATACGTTCATTCAAATGTAAATGTATCTTATCTTAACGGAAAGTAATTATGAGATGTGGCATAAATGATGTATTATATTGTGATGAAGGAAAGTAACTATGATATTCTTTCTAAATGACTGACACCCCACCCCTTCTTTGGGGTCAGCAAGTAAGAAGAAATCTAAAATTTACAGCTTCGGCACAAGGCCGAGCGAGGCAAAGAAAGCGATAACAACGCATTGGGCTGTTGTACTAAGAAATGCTATGAGGTTTAGGAACCATACGAAATGTGGAGAACATGATCAATTGCGCTTGAATTGACAGTAATGCAATAACTTCAAAATATAAACAGGTGTTCTTGTGAATAGTTGACTGCGTGACGTCGAACAGAAGGCGAAGTGGAGAAACGCGACAAGCCACTGGTTCCTACGTCAAAGTTTAGGAACGTGGCAGGCTCCAGTGATTATCACTGGCACATCCTGTGAACACACCGCACGGAAGTTGTGCAGCAAAAAGTTCATGACATCAGTCTGGAATGTTTCTGGTGATATATACACAGTTGTGACGACGAAGCCGGCCGATGGCCTAAAGGTGCTAGCGTCACCACAACTCATCTGGGGCAGCGAGTTGAGTTGGTCCGTCTAGACGAAAGAATGAATGTGGCAGTGCGTATATTGGTGGGATTCGATTTCACAAGCACGACACCGCTAGCAACCTCCCGAGTAGTCCTGGACTTGATTCGAGCAATTTTCGTGTTGCTTAAGAGTAAAGTGGAGCCAGATGTGTATAAGAATTCCCCTTTCATTCAACTGTGTGTACTTCAGTGAACCCACCCCTGCAGTGATCAAGCCATCGCACGTGTAAATGTTTAGGGATTTCAAATCATGCATGGCTTGTCCTAACAAAGTACGTGCGTTAAATAAGAATCGTTCATTTAGGTGCATGGTGAGTACACCAGGGGTATATGGTGTCTAAATATAGCTCGCCGTTGGTCAGATGGACCGCATGAGCGGCGTCATCTAGTTAAGTATTGCGCCGCGCTGCGAAGCGAGGTGTCGCTCGTTTGAATCCACTATGCAGAAACAGCAGTGGCCAAACGCAGGACAGGTCACAAGGAAGGAAGGAAGGAAGGAAGGAAGGAAGGAAGGAAGGAAGGAAGGAAGGAAGGAAGGAAGGAAGGAAGGAAGGAAGGAAGGAAGGAAGGAAGGAAGGAAGGAAGGAAGGAAGGAAGGAAGGAAGGAAGGAAGGAAGGAAGGAAGGAAGGAAGGAAGGAAGCAAGGAAGGACAAGGAAGGAAGAAGGAAGGAAGGAAGGCTTCGTTACTGAAATAAACAAATGAACTACGTTGTACTTTCCATATCGGGGAAGTGGAAGCAACCGGAACTTGGTGTTCGCGTAGTTCTCTTACTGTCTTAAGGCAAAAGCGTTAGATGATACATGAACGCTGAGATTAGGCGACGGTGGCGTCTGGCGGCGTAAAATGAGGGTATGGCAAAAACTTGTCGTTACGTCATCAATCGGCATCACTAATTACGATGATTTGTGGCAGCTCATTTTTTCAATGTCACGCTGAATGCCTGGGTACAACTTGTGCCGTACAGTGAACGTTAGCCTGAGCGTGCACCTGCATCATAATGGTACCCATGTATTTTTAATAAATTCAGATTGCCAGCACTGCAACCACAGTTAATGGTGCATTGACATAAGACGTTTTCGCCGCACAGGATCTTTGAGACCAAGCATGGCTCTGTGGTACGACAGAAAAATGCCACGCCGAATGCCTGGGTGCAACTTGTGCCGCACCAGACTGATCTATCTGCCGGCACATACATCAACCTTCAAATATCATATAGCCGTAAAGCTCGTGCTTCTCAAATCAATGGCATTTATTCCTGAGAAACCGCTATTCCTTAACTCCCTAATGTGCTGCCATTTACTATACAATCAATTCAGATGTCTTCCTTGCACCTTCTCTTGTCCGTGTAGAGTAGTACGGACTGGAAACAGGACTGTACGAGACTGTAGATTTCGTGTACCACGGTTATTTTTTTCACAGCGAAAGCTGTTATGAGATCAAAACTCGGGTCAAGCGCGGCCATAGTTGTCCGCCGCTGCTATCAGTGTCCGTAACCACAATGCACGAAATCAGAAATTAAACCTAAGGCCAATGACACCGTGGAACTCAAACCCGGGTGCGCTGAGTGCCAGCCCAGAATTCTACCACTGAGCCACGCCGGTGCTTGGGAATTGTTGGCAAACTTGCCTTAGGGAGGCTTTATGCCGGGTAAGCAATAGCGGTAATATTTATAAACTGTTCTAAAACAGCGAAAGAACAACCATTAATCACAGAATTCGAATCGCGTAACGAGTGGCCCGTTCAATGCTCCAATCTGTTACAAAAGGTTGTCCTTGTTCACCTATCAACTGTGGCGCATACCAACTTCGGGCACAGTACCCTGATCGTCATCAGCCACTGCGTGAACGATTGGCACAAAATCGCTTGCAAGTGTTTAGCGGATACCACGCTTCTAAAAAATAGCATAGCGAATGCCAGCCTTCTACACAAAAACTTTTATAAATAATGCCGTATAGTGGGTATCAATCATGTGCGCTTGCAGCAGTTATGCAGTGAGTGTTTAGAAAAGGCTCTGACAGACCGCTCTTCTACCTTTCGCTGTGAATGTGCAGTGGCTCTCACGCAGGCCTGGCGTTTTTTTTTGTACATAGCTAAGGTCTTTTGCAGCTCTCTGGTTGATTTTGTTCTA